CCTACATTTTTTTGGTGCAGATTCTACATGTGCCTTTATTATTTTCCAGTCATGTCGAGAAAGGCATGGAGCATGATTTTATTTTGTACCATATTAGATCTGGATTGTCACAGTAAAGCATTCAGAAACCCCGGTAGCAACCCTCTGTTAGCTGAATATCATGTTGGAAACGCTCTCCTTTGTTACTCACCATTCACAGACTTTTCAAATGTGAATGTAGGAAATGGGTTTTCAGTGACATGCAGCAGCCCATTTTCTGTTTACTTCCCAGTATGCAGGTGATTAAGTTTTCACAGAGCCACTTGAATGCTTTTCAAGCTTAAAGCTTGGTTGCTTACATGCATAGTCGAAAACCATCGTCCTTACATACCCATGCAAACAGCAGACCGCTTTTACCAATAAGTCTTCATTTCCTTTTGTGCTGTACGCTTTGACTTCTGGTCCAAAAATAGTGGTCAACAAACACAAAATGTATAAAAAAGTTCATCAGAAGAACTAGATGTCCTGGAGAAAAACCAAGTACAGGTTTGAAATCATTGTGAAAATAACTAACAGAGAAGTACCTGTGATGATTATTACCTGCTGACCTGTGTAATGGATGAATGCTGGAAAGTTGCATTGAGCACGGAGCTGGACATTTTTACTGCCACCACACTGATATGCAGAGAATGAAACCAAGAAATACTGCAGACACATATGGTGCTAAATTTTCAGCCATAACACAGGGCCACCCGACAGTATGTCATCTTAGCCCTCCTTCTGATTCTAAAAGGACCAAAATTTACTAAATTAATTTCATGGTGTTTTACGTGACATAAAACAACCTTAAATTTATCAGGAAAGTGCACTAAGGTCTCAGGCAACACTGTAACCAAAGAAGCCATCATGTTTGGCGTCGCGTTTCAGACCTGAAAGCTAGATTTTTTTATATACATGCTATGTTTAGTGAGCAGGAGCTTCAATGGTGACTTAATGAAACCCGTGTGTCCCGTGTGGCCTGAAAAACATTTGCTCTTTCACTATGAAAGAAGAGACATGTCCTTTTGCAGATGACAAACTACACAAAGAAGGAGATGCAGTGTGTGTGTATTAGCAGATATTACTTGTGAATTCAAAGAGTTCCTGTTTTGTCCTGTTATGCCACTATTTGGTCCAGTACTCAAGACATAATCCAGCATAGCTAGTAACATTTTAAAATGCTGTGAGGGGCCAAAATCATCTTTCTGTCCGATGGATTCATTTATATTAAAATAATGTGAACTGCGTCAGCTGTAAACACATGGAGAAACCTGTTCCAATTTCTAGTCTTAGTGTGAAAAAGTATGCTTTGCATCTTCTGTTGACAACGGACCTGCTTTTATTAGTAACACATGTCAGGGACACATGATAGTGTGTAGAGGATGTGAGAGTCAGTAGGGAATTGCCAGGTAACCTAATGGAAAAACAATGAGGGGAAGAAAAACGGTGCATATTTCCAGCTGGGGAAATATTGTCAACATCGTGGTAAAATGTAGAATCCTGGATAGTACAGACAGAATAACACTGTGTGCTCTGTCTGAGGGCAGACAGACATGAACACTGCTTTATACAGAATGTGTTCTGCAGTCTTTTCTTAAACTGATGCATTTATTTGCAGCTTTCAGACGTCTGAGATTTGTTTGGACTGCTTCCTATTATTCTGTGTTATTTGTGTTATAATGTTATAATATAAGAATATGTAAAGCGCTTTGGGGTCCTTAGGGACTAAGTAAAGCGCTATACAAATACAAGCCATTTACAATTTACCATGTTATACATTACAGTGACAAAAGGATTTGTCCCCTTGCAAACTTTCAGTTTTTTGTATACTTTTCACACTTAAATATTGAAATGAAAAAAAAAGCAATATTACAGAAAGCTAACCCACATAAATGAAAATGCAGTTTTGAAATGATGATCTATTTTTTAAACATAAATGATTTTAATTTGGTCACACTGGAGCACGAACAAACAGTTTGAATGATGTCAATAGCAATTTAGTCTGGCCTTTTAGGACTAGGCTACTCTAAACCCTTCTTCTTCGTCCTTTTTGAGTGATTCAGGAGTGCACTTGCTGGTGTGTTTTGAATCACTGCCCTGCTGAATAACTCG